AACGCTGACAGAACTTCAGTTCTGAGGTGCTTACAGTTTTGAAAAGCGAAGGGGCAAAGGTGTCCAGTTTCCACAAGGTTCCAGCCTAAACATCTGCCACATGCATAAAAAAATTAACAGTTGCAATATTTGAACTCGCATTTTGTTCCACATAGTACTATCTAAACCATATTCTTCCTTATTTTGAATTTCAGAATAGTCTCTGTAAGAGAAACCAACAAACTAAAGCAAATCAAATCGTGTTTATATGTCAGTAAGTGACCAATAGGTCTGTGCATAATTATCTAATCAGCTTAGACCTGTAATTAGGGGTGAGGTTACTTTAGACTTGCACAAAAAGCCTGCAGGGCAGATTTTCACAATTAGCTGCCTGCACTACCCTTCGCTTATTTGTGTACAAAATGCCTAGTGCTGAGGACACGCAGCTAACTAGAAGCTGAGCTACTACACACTCCTTTTAAATATATTTCAGCCCTAATAGATAGGAAGGTAACAAACTAACAAATTTTGTTTTGCAAAGTTGTAGTGGAGAAGTTACCTGCTTTTTCTTTAAAGCAGTATTTCCGTACCCTAAACAGTACTTTGACTACTTTACAACCATCGGATGTCTTCCAGAATAAAACTGTTAATGAAAATTAGGTGTTCAAGAATCTATTCAACAGGTAAAAGACTACAATCCCACAATAAAAAGAGACAACTAGCATTTCTTTTTATGTGAAAAAAACCCCCAAACCAACCACAAAACAAATGAACTTTAAACAGGTATCTGTAAATTAGAAACTATGATGCATAAAAACAATATGGAAAGGTAAAGACAGAAAAAGTTGCAATTGATGCAGCTAAGAAGCATAAGACTGTTTTTAAAGCATAAGAAAAAAATATAAACAGTGACATAACTTATTACTAGCCGAGGATAGTAAAATTGCCAGGAGGCAAAAAAAGCTGTCATATGCAGTAAATACTTTATATTAGGAAACGATTAAGATGACATATCTTACAAATAAAATGAAGTCCTTTCCAAAGCTTTAACAGTGGTAGAGATGTTTCCTCTACCACTGAGAAAATTTTTGTGATGGCAAGGTCAGACGACTTGTTCCTAATAATTCTACGACAGCTGGGATTGAAGCCTGAAGTCTACACACCGACAATTTTACAACACTACCGTAGTTCCAGTAATTCATGAGTTAATACAAAAGTAGCAACAGGCCAGAAAGCTTGACACTCAGCTAGCAAATATACAGAAGAAACACAGCATGACTCACTAGCACGGTGGTTTCAGAACTGTATTAGAGCAATAAAGAACATATGAAGTGAATTAAAAGTCAAAATTTTATCTATTTATTTTAAAGAGAGAACCTGCATGGTCTGTTGCTATACCTGAAAGCACTCAACATTTTCAGTGATTTGAAAGTGACTCTAAACACCCTTCCTGATAGCATGTTGTGGGTGAGGTGGACATCGACCAAACAGAGCAGCAGTCAGCACAAGGCCAGAAAGACCAAACAAGACAGACTCACTCAGATGAAACAGGTTATGTGAAAAAAAATCAAATCCAAAGCACATTGACAGGGAAGAAGCAGGGCCCATACTTTAAACAGTAGATTCATCTTATCTGCACAAACCTTTTGTGCAGAATAAGAAAATGATCCTAAGGAAGACAAGCATGGAGTAACTATTCAGCAGCAGCAGCTATCCTGCATGAGTGATTCCAGTTCTGATTACAGAGATAATCCCCGGAACAGCGAGCTGAGTGGCTGTAACGAAACTGCACGTGATTCTAGATTTTGGCCGAATGTTATTGAACAAATATCTGTCAGTGAGAAAGAAGTTTGAAGACCACGGACATTTAAAAAACCTGGCAATCGCACAGGTGAGATTAAGGAACTTTTAGAAAGAAATTTTGGGTTTTTACAGATGCTGTAAAGCAATCAGCAACTCAGGCTTGGCTCTTGCTCATCCTCCTGATGAGGACGACTGCAATGAATGGTAGCACGACAAGGTAGCACTGCAGAAAGCAAATAGCCACAGGCACAACTGAAAGGTCTGTAGAAGCTGTGACCCTTATATCCTTTTCTACCATGATAGTGTCTTTTAAAATATGGAAATGTATCACCTGGATTCTTGCGGAATTTGGTGAGAGATCAGTGGACAAATACTGAAACACCATCAATCAAGAAGAGATGAGCTCATAATACATTTGAATTAATTAAAAACATAAACTAGGTTTAGTTTAGAAAAAAAAGTCTGCGCAATGAGGTCCTGAAAAGCAGCAGGAAAGGGTGCTCACAGAATAGTCATCTGGGCCGAGTAACTCCTGGTCACAACGTTCACATCACTGACATGATCATCCCCGACATGGTCCAGGAAAAATAAACCAGTGTGTTCGTACTCAAATGGATGGTATATGGCAGCAGCAAAGATGAATGTTACAAACACCTGAATGTATCTTCAAAAGTATATGATCCTTGTCATCCCAGATGAGAAGGAATACAATAAAGGCATGTAGAGCACTACAGCAGTTAAAAAAATGACATTTCCTTTGTTACTAGCGTGGCTGCCTGAGGGACCTGAAGCACGGGAGAACAGTCATGCTTGAAGCCCCTGGCCTGAAACAGAGAGCCAAAAGGCCAGGCTCACTTTGGGTTTCACTTTTTGGGTGAGTAAATTCATCTGTCCTGCAAGAAATGAACGTCCTAAGGAAGCAAACCTCTGTGGCTGCCACCACCTCCTTTGTCAAATATTCAATTTATATACAAGTGAACAGGAACTCTCTAGAGACGCCCATTACTCACATCTGTGGCTGCCCACAGAAAATCTAAACAAATAAGGCTGAGCCAAAAATTCTCCACAGAGTCAACAAGCAGAAGCAGCATAAGAATCAGACACCCTGTCAAGTCCTTCGTTCAACACTTAACAGAAGCTGTTCACAAGGCAAGATTATGATGAAGGCAAAGAGACTTCAGGGCTGGAAATCATACCTACTGTTGCACTCCGCAAGTTCTATCAATTCCCCTTGAAATCAGGGGCAAGAGACATGGTTTTGCTGTAACGCTGGTTCTAGACTCACAAATGCATTGTTGTCTGGGACTGCCACCTCTGCTGCTGTAAAATGCCCAGTAAGATTAGACTCTTCTTCCAGAAAAATATGATGGGGATGAAGGGGAAAACCTGACATCTAAACAGATCCTGAATTGACCTCTTGACATCAAAATGGTACACTGTCACCAATTCAGCCTTCAAGAAAAAGAAACGAATCTAGATGAAGCAGTAATACTGTCCTTTATTCAGCAATACAGGTTCAATGCCAGCACCAAATAGCACTTGAGGTGCTAGAGCTGTAACTGCTGCAGCTCCAGGACAGACTGACAGCAGCTGAGCTCGTATCTCCTACACCAAAAGCCACACGAATGAACTGGGAGGGTCTGGAGAACTGCCACTAGAAGTGGTCAGAAGTAAATCAATTTTGACTATGATGAGGTTATTTTAACTGGTCTACAGCAATCCACAGTACCCAGAAGTCAGCATTCTGTTTTATTCCCATCTGCATTTTAACTTCAGAACTTTGATACCCAGACACATTTATGTTTCCTTCACATCAACACAGCATCTGCAGCCCTTTCTTCACCTCAAAGCAAGCCACATTTGCTATCCCCCATTCTGACAGTCCTCCCTTTAGATCTGCATCCCAGTTCTGTTGCCCCAAATGATTAATTCTTCAGAGGTGGGAGGGAGAAACCAAAGGAAGAGGGAAATCATGTGTCTCTTCTTACACACACATAGAAGGGAAGGCTTTCAACATGCAGGTTGTTGTAAACTTCTGTAGTCTTTCAAAATTTCTCATACCACACAATCCCTGTTATCTGATTGCAGTCAAGTTCAGATTTAAGATTTCATAACACATCCTTCTACCTAAAGTCTGAGGACAACACTTTCATGTAGTGCCAGCTGACTGTCTTCACTTCCCTTCAAAAGTCTTTGAGGCCACTGCCGCTCTAAGACAGGTTGATTCATGCAGATCCTTTTGTTTTCTCTTTCGTGAGAAATGTCCTTTCATACAACGGATCGAGCATTGATCTATCGTTGTATTATAGGCGCAACATCCTTAAGAAAACTCAGAGCTGGGTTCTGCTTATAAACCAGAGAAGAATTACCAACATCTATCTACAAACTGTCCTTTGACTGAAACCGGGAACTTAGAAACGGAAGGAAAGCTACACAAAGGAAATTAAGATTTCACAAGTTTTCAAATTTAGGAGTAGAAAGATTCATAAATCCTTCAGGAGTTATTAATGATCATAGACCTGAGGGTTCTCTGTAAATACTGAAGAAAACATCTACTGAGTAAAGGAAGATTTACTGAAAGGACAAAAAAAAAAAAATCAATTAAGAAGAGGTTAATCAAAAACACAGAAGAGAATGAAGGTCTGTGCATTCAATGTTCGCTTTATTACACACTACAGACAAGTGCTGTGTCTCCACATTCACATCTAACTTCAATTAGCTTGCATTGTATCACTGCTCCATTTCCAACAGAAGCAGCTTTCCTGTGCTTTACTATTGGAAGTAACCACAGGCTAACAAAGAATACACAAAACTGTTCTTAACCTCATTTAAAAAGTCATAGCTTAAAATGCAACCTTAATAGCATGAAATTCAGTTACATTAACTTTTGTAAAATTCAACTACACTTTTCTCCCCAGAAGACCAAATACCCACAGCACCAAGCAGAACTGGCTTGTTATATGAAGACAAAAAAAAAAAAAAAAAAAGAAAAACACAAAACCAAAACCCACCAACTCCTACAGTTGCTGCTGTATTTGTGGCTCCCTGGCCTCCTCAGAGAGGAAGGCAACTGCTATATAAAAAGTTGCGTATACACTACCGCAGACTACAAGCTTCTTTGCAAGCAGGCAACTACAGTGACTTGATTTCACGACATTTTCTTGATCCTGAAATTAAAATCACACATCTATTTTTATTCCATATTACAACATACTTACTCTGCCATTACACGTCTGACGTTATTGGCATATAACACTGGATTTTTTCTTTCTTCTTCTGAAGGAATATACACGGGTAGAAACTGCATAAAGAGAACTGAATTATACCAAGGATATTTAACACTCTAAACAATCTCTATTATAGCACTATAGTGAAAAGTGTATACAGTTTGTTGCTACTCACAAAATTACATCGCACTTTTAAATGCTGAAGGCTGCACCGTGCTTCTAGAAATCTGTGTAACAGTGACTCTGCTCATTTCTTACCTCATGGAACCCAAGTAGAGCTTTATCTTCCTTTCATAAGTGGGACCACGAATTTTTAAATCATTTAAAAGTATCAGCATTTTCTTGCACAAACTTTTCTCTTATATCCTGTATTGTTCAGCTCTTTGCAGATAACCAAGAAAAGCACCTCCTACATGAACACTGTTCTATAGCTCACATATTAAGAGTGTAAATTCTCAGGATTAAGTATTTACTGTTCTCCCCTGCACATTCCGAAAACACATATGACTGTTTAATGTACACATCAGAAGTGTTTTTATCTTCTGTTGCTGGAGGTTTTGAAAAACTTCTCCCTCAAATTAAACAGTGGATATTAACACTCAATTGAAAAAAAAAAAATCTAAATAAATGCACATCAGAACCACAGAACAGCTGAGGTTGGAAGGGGAAAAGTAAACCAGAACTGCAGGAAACCTGCGCAGCTTTCAGATTGGGATGGGCTATATTAAAAGACCTTCCAGCTTTTAGCTATGTTTTTAAGAGTTCATTGAAATATGATGGAAGCCCCAAGATCATGTCCAGTGTCACCTACAAAAACCCTCAAAACATTCAATTTCTGCCAAGTAATTACCTTCTCAGATAGAAAGAACAAGAAGGCATCACTCCAGTTCCCACCCCTGCTCCGCACCAGACAGACAATTCCCTTAGCAGTGCAATGCAATGAGATAACTTACGCACTAAGTGAACCAAATTTGTAATAAGCTTAGCTGTATTTCATTTCACTACCTACTGGTAATACAAAATGGGAATTATAATCCAGAAATTTCACACTGGTCTTTAAAAAAGAAAGTAAGAATTGGGGAATAAATATAAAAGTTTATCATTTAAGCAAATACTTCTCAGTAACAATGAAGTTAGCTGTATTTTCAGAATGGCGTAATGGTATGATTAGCAGAATTCAAAATGCTGCCATTAGATGTTCGTCTATGTTAGAAGTATTCAGCAATGGCCAAATCTTTAATTTATTTTGTGTTTTGTTACAGGTTTCCCTATACGCCCCACTGCAATTGAAAACAACGCTTGTCTTCTGGGTTTACAAGCAGGTATGCCAGTCTGATGTGATATCATCTACAAAAGGACAAAGACTGTGAAGCTAACAGACAGAAAGATTGTTCCTCCAAGTTCCAAGCCCAATTCTATCTCTTTTATTTTGAGCTGCAAATTGCTACCAAGTCAATCATCCAAACACAGGACAAGTTTGACTATGAGGCGATTTCAGGTGTCCTACAGGGACAGAAATAGCACAATCATTTCAGCACCACTAACAAAACTAAGAGAAGAACTCTCAGCTGCTGCAGCCTGTGATGGATGTAGGAACACTGAAGCTGACAGGCCAGCAAAACAAACTGACATGAGCCAAAACAAACTATCATGTGCAGGTGCTCACATACCACTTTTTCTTCGCACGACTGCTTGCATGTCAGTTCCAAGTACAGGATGGATGGATAGATGGGCCAGTATTTACAGGAACCTGTTATAAAATCTACATAGATGCTTGCTTCTCAATATACATGCTGCTTGACATGTATGGTATGCCAGAACACACATTATATGCAGAGAAGCCCAGACTAACGAACGTCAGATCCTCATTGCTGGCTGTTAGACCTTACGAGCTATCATTTAATCAAAAAGATACTGAAGTTGTGTTGTTTTGCTGTACATCTCCCTGAGTTATTGGATCTTCAGCAGAAATTCTAGTATCAAGGCTGGTTGGTATTTGACAGTATCCTGGTGCTGACAGAACAAAGCAGGAATAAAAGCCAAACTTTGGAGACCAGGGGAAAAACATGACTCTGAACAACTAGAATAACCAATTTTTCCTCTGCGTTCCTAGATCTGCCGCACTTCCCTACAAAAATAGATTCAACAAGTAGCTCTCAAGGGCTCTGCCTCATACTTGCGAGCAGCCTTGCAAACAGCTTTGCTCCTCTACCCTCTGCCAGCTCCTGCTTCAGCATGGGTACTTCACAAAGTCACTAGCTTTGTTTGTTTGTAGACAACCAAAGACATAACTTGTCCTTGTGCAAGAGCTGTATGAGCTACAGAAACTCAGCAGATCCTCAAAAATCAAGAAGGCTCAGCAGGGTTCACTTCTGTGAGAAAGAATCCATTTTACTTGCCTAGGGCAGAGAACCATGTTCCTGAGACAGAGTAACAACCCTGCCAAACAGCTGGTTTGTCTTACAAACCATGAGGCTGTTGCTCCCTGGCCCTTCTATCGAAAAGAGGCCGCTATGTTGGAAATAGGACTTCTAAAATTTTCTTTGTATATCTACTATTAATAGATGAAAACACGCAACTGAAGTGGTAACACAAACCACAAATTCCTGCAACAGACCAACTGTTCAGTGGCCGGTATTTGGTGTGTTCATTATTTTTGAGAAGAATTTATAGCGTGAGTAAACACAGAGCACAGCAATGATAAATACTGCGATTAGCATGTTACAGGTTACAATAGTAACATATCTGTGTATGTAAATGCATAATAGTTCTTCCTACTAATCTACTCTGCCATCAGTTCCAGAGACAAATAGCTGCCTCATTATTAAAAAAAAATAAGGAAAAGAATTGCAGAACATCTGTCAAATAACCCATATAAACCCCTTAAAATACTGTACTTCTCCATGAAAATGTTATTACTCTCCGTAAAATGCATAAGGACAGCAATTTAAAAGGAAAAATTTTAATTGTTTTCTCATTTGCACTACAATAGTCTTCAGCCTTAGGATCACAGTGTTTTCCTCAAAGCTAAGAATACATAGATTTTCTTTGTGTTTCCTGATTTCACATTCTGAACAGTGCAGCCTAATAAAAAAAATATCAGCCAGACATATTAAATATGCTCTAAGAAACCACCTACAATGATTTTTCTCTGGATGACAGTCCTTAGTTTGTACATCAGCATTCACACACTTGGATATCTAACACACACAAGTTGTGTGTGTGGCAAACAGGCCATTAAAAGACAATAAATTTGTTCAAAAACCACTATTTAAACAGAGTCAGAAATCTATCTACTCAATTCAAATGAGTAAGAAAGTAAACTCTCAAGTCAAGTGGAAAACTGTATTTTGTTATTCCATTTTTAGGCTACATTTTCCGATACAGAAGCCATTTGTCTAAAAAGTAAGTGGTACTTTAACCTGTTTTTACAGACTGTGTTAACATAAAAAGTTTGAATACAAACTTCTACTGCAGAATTAAGTACAGTATTATGTATTCTGATACTGCTCAGAATACACTGGGTTTTTTTTACTGACCTCAATTTCCACAGAATTGTGAAACTGACACAAAGTAAGCCACAGAATTTCTAACCTAAAAGGGGAAAAAAAAAAGGAAAAGGATGGAGGAAAAAAATTTACACATAGTGAAACAGCAGTACATTATGCTCCAAAGTCTTCAAGTAACATTCCTACTTGTAGGTATGATCATATTCAGATACAAAATTAACAGAAAAGGTCTTTGAGAGTACTTCATTACATTCTGTAAGGTGGAACAAAAGCAATTTACACTGAAGTGGCATCTTAAAAGATACCCAAAAGCGGGAAGACAAGCAATAATACGATATACAGGTGTTAATACAATAAGACTTGATGTATGCATAGCGTGTACAGAAAGAGTAAGCGTGTTTCGGGAAAATGCTGTATTCAGCACAAGGTTGGCAAAATTAATTATCACCACAAAGATTTTATCATTACCTTGGTTTGGAATCAAAGTTCATTATACTTCAGAAGTCTGTTAATGAAATTCAGTACATGTGTTTTAGTAGCCTAAGATACTGGAATGAACTTGACCTTAGAAAGCAGTAAGATTCAAATCTGGGAAAGGACTTAGTAAACCTAAATTAGGGAGCAGAGTCAGCAGCCACATTTTATACAGAATCAGGTAGTTAGAGCAGTCAATCACTGTGAGGGGAGGGAAGGGCTGCTCAAAATCCTCTTAGGCAGATAAAGTGCAGTTCCTAGAAGCAACACCCTACTGACTTTGCTATACTTGTTCAGGGCTGCAATACTTCCCCCCCCTCCTTCTTTCCTACTGAACTTCCAACATATTAAAGCCAAGAAAAGGAGCAAGAACAACAGTGGAACTTGTGATTTGAAGTTTACGTCACTGACAGGAAACGGAGTGTCTGGTTCCTAGGTCCTTAACAAGAGCATTAAAAAACCCTAATAAGTACAAGGAAACTTTTCTCTCTGCCAACTCTCTGTAATCCTCAAAGACGAAACCTTAAATTATAAGTATCAATTAAAAAAAACCTGATAGAACCTGTATCTCTCTCAAGTCTGATGTAGAGAAAACGTAAGTTGTATGCTATAGTCAGCCTTTGTCATCAAGGCAGTCAGTTGATTTGCTCTGAATACTGTCTAACTAGTAAAAACATTACTTTCCATAAGTGGAAGAAAGTGTATAGTTTCCACGTGATAAGTTTTCAATCTATTTTATAGGCTATAACAACTTCAAACAAACAGAACACTCCTGGATATATCAGTATTTCCAGATTAAGTTTTAGCTAACACTGTGACAGAAGAAGAGACATTTGCTGAGAAAGCGATGACTGTATCAGTCTTAACAGTGTTTTCTGCTAAAACACCAGAAATACATTCTAGGTCACTCAGGAGAATTAATCCTAACTAAGTAAAGCTGTAATTTAAATTGACCCAGTGAATTTGCATAACATCACACACTACCTCAGCTTTAATTTAATTTAACTTTATTAGCAGAGGTCAGCATTTCTGAATAAGGGATTTGTACACATTAAACTGATCTGAGGCAACACACCTACAAGTTCCTCCCCTCTTCTTCCAGCTTAGTGTCCTGCCTGAGGAGTCAAGCACACATAGAAGGAGGAAGTAAGCTACTTCACTTTCTCCCCCCTGGCTGAGCTAATTTGCTAGACGAACTGCAGTGCAAATGCAAGGGAAGAGGTACGAACTCAAGAGCTGCTTCATTTAGTATTTTACATTACATGAATTTGCTAAGAAACCTCTAGCATAACATCTTGGTTTTTCAAAAAAAAAAAAAAAAAAGAAATTGAAGTTACTGTTTCCTTTATCTTGCCTGAATGTATCTCCAAATTCCCTGAGTGGGTTGACTGTTTCCGTGGGACTAGACCAATTTCAAACAACAGCCATACAGAAACACACCAAATTGATTTACAGGCAATAAGACACATAGAGCAAAAGCAAGTTTTTTTAATTCAGGTATTTGGCTAAAAAAAAAAAAAAAACAAAACCCAAAACTTTGAAATAAAACCCTAAAATCCATTCTGCAAATCACCAAAATCATAGCAGCAGAATTACACTGTTTATACCTGGATTCCTCTAACTGAGTATTATCATAATCAGGGAATAACAGATAAAAGACAAATTAATCCCAGAGAACAATCCAATAACCAGCAATTACTACTTGACCATACACACCTATAACACATGTAAACAAAAAATTAACAAAGGAAAGCAATCATGATATAAGCAATAAAACTTACGCTCCTGGCCCTTGCCATGTCCATGTAATCGTATCCTAAGGAAAGAGGCACGACAGTTGCAATTAATTATTGTACTTTAAACTTTTGTTACATTATAAACAGTATAACTGACAACACACGACTAAAAGGTTTTCATAGAAACTCCAGGGCCCTCTTTGCAAAAGTCCTTAGCCCCAGTAGGAATCAGCCTGCCTTTTATGCAGCTAGAAAATAGCCAGTAACCCAGCTCTTAAATTGCAGAATATCTACATTCAGAAAACATTTTAAGATCCAGGGATTCTTCAAATGCTGTTAGCCTTGGAAAAGAAAGTTATTTACTGTAAGCTGATGTTCCCCGATATCCATAGTCCATGTCTATTTTCCTAACCCATCCTGCTTGACAGGGTGTCTCTCAAGTGTCCCTACACTGTACTCAGACGTCCCAGCACTGGATACGAACACTCTGTAACACTTCCGAAGCGTTTGGGACCTGTGGAGATGACTGAAAGGAAGCCTGCTCAGCTGACATGAGGCAGTAGGACAAGACAGACCTTACATCTTATCTCAAAACAGTATTTTTCCAGTTGTCTTTACTCACAGACTGCATACATCCACCTGCCTGATCCAAGAATCAAAAGGTACGTTGTAAGACATCTAAACCCACCAATCTCCTCTTGGGCAAGATCAGCAGCATTTTTAGATTGCTGAGAGGAACAGTGTGTAAAACACTAAGAGAGGACAAATTGCATCTTGTTCACTTCTTTCACTGCTAATAGCAAAAAGGGAACAGAGAACTGGAAAGGAGTATATAACAGATGACAAGAAGGAATATGACAGTAAAGGTCATCCCATTTTTAACTGCAAGATTAAGAAACAGCGTAGGGAAAAACTGCAGTACTTGGAGATGAGATTTAAGCATAGAAGAAAGAATCCAAAAACCTGAAAATGAGTTCCAAGCTACTGTCTGACCAACCGGGAAAAAAAAATGTGCAAGTCATTAATGGAAAGACGAGAGGCCTCTCTAAATTCAGGTTTCTACAAGATTGGATCAGAAAGATATTTCTATCAACCTACTGAAAAATGTTCCAGTTCAGTTCTACGCTACCATCCAAAACCCTTTTAGAGAGTTTAGGTGATCACACAAGCCATCACCCTGAAAAATCAAGTCAAATTCATGTTTTAATTACCATTTAGAGCAAAAGTCTGTCACAAGTAAAAATGAAAGCAAGCAACACATCCACAAAAGGTGAAAAACGTGATTAATGTGATAGATCAACAGCTTGGAGTAAGGCCAATATGTCACGAAGGACTAGTAAAAATTTAAATCTTGACTTTCAACAATTATTCCAAATCAAACAAATTATGATAAAGAATGACTGTATCCCTTAACAGTCAACATCTGCATTCTGAGCACACTTTGAAACTTTTGTATCCAGACAATGAATCCTTCGAACTGTGTGGAAGCATATCTTCCATATGATTTGTATTTGACACACGAAAATACGGAGAATCACGCCAAGGTTCAAACAGCAGATTGGCTGTGTTTTCACATGCTCAGTTAACCCTGACACACCAAAGCTGTCCAAGAGATGCTGCCAAACCTCTTATCAAATAGCACAGTTACCTGTGGAAGACACTTGGACATAAATATAAATTCAAAGTGGCTCTGTGACATTTAAACAGGTATACAGCCTTCCATAATTACCAGCACCCTGACAGAAAATTCAAATGAAGGAAGAGCTGTATACACAAAGAATATTAGTATAAAATTGAAATGCAAAAAGAACGGCTGTAGAACCTATGGAGACATCAGAGCATTTATTTTAATTAGATTATAGGTAATAGCTGTCAAGCATCCAATAGGCAAAAGACTACTAAACTAGATAAACAGAAGAAAATTTTGAATTTCAGGCCCAAACCACACTTTAAGCCTTACAATTTCTTTCTGCTCATGCATCAAGAGGAGCAACATACTAACTTACTACTCCTAAAGCAACATTGATAGAGGACCAGAGGCAAACAATCACAAAACCAAAGAAGAACAGAATTCAAGGGGCAACCCTGACTAGAGAGCTCTTCATGGCATGCAGAACTAGATTTATTTGTTAGCAAAGACCTGAAGTTACATCATCACTTTTGCCACACGTTTCAGTCCGCTGCAGAACAGTAGCGCTTTCCCTAGTTCTTGAATGGGGTACAAGGAAATAATCACGTAAGAGTGCACACACCTACTGCATTCACCCCAGGCTCTGACCTCGGAAAGCCTCCCACAACAGTCAGCTGCACTCAAGTCCAAGACTGTCTCGTTTGGACTGTGGAACTCAGAGCTCTGAAGGCAGGTAAGAGCTGGCAGTTCAAGCTAAAAGCAGTGGGGTGACTGGGTGACTGCACACAATGCATATCTGGAATTCGCTGGCTAAGCAAAGATCTTAAGAAATTCCTTTCTAAACCTAAAATTATAATATGCAGTGGTCAAACGACAACAAATAGGAAGCCAGAGACAATTGAAGTTTGCTAGAAATGCTGTCTTAAGCGTATGAAAACCAATGCTCTCTCCCTGCTCTGTTGTTCTTACTTGCTACCTAACTCTTAACTGCACCCTAACCAAAATAAACCTCACCTTCACATATCACATCATACCCCTCCTTCCTCTCCTCATTCTAACTTTGCTGCAACTCTTCTTCAGCCCCCAAGCTAATCTAAAAATCACACAGTAATAGCAATTATCACCCCCCTCATTAAGGCTTCCTGCAAGAAGACCTCAGCAGTTTAAATGACTCAGACACTGTTTTACAGCAATCAAAAGCAGCAGGAAAAAGTAAAATTCCATACACAGATTCAGGCCAACTCCAATGGGTATATATAAAATAATCACAGTTTCTTTTATGACATTTTGCAGCAATATAAAAAAAAAATTATACTGATTTACTTCAATGTAAAAAGCTCACAATTTCTGTTAATAGAGTATTAGGAACATTTAATATTAGTTTACAAACATTGCATATTAGGTACTACAGGCAGTAAGGATATTTTAGTATGAAAATGGATTTTTAAAGATATTTGCAAATTAACATTTGATAATATAAAACTTACTTATAACAATATAAAGTAACTAAAAGTAATACGACATATTAAGTATGACATAAGACGTGCATATTTGCAATTTAAACTGGCAGTGCAATACAAGTTTAAAAATATTTTTAGAAAATAATCTTTCTTCCTGAAAATAAAACAATTATGTAATGAAAAGTCCCAGGCAACCTGCTATGATGCACTTTAATATTATGCAAGCATAACAGTCTGCTATACTTGTCATAGCATCTGCAAAGATAATTTTTGGGTTTGTTACTGCAAACTAGTTGACTGCCATCACACGCTGTCTCAGTCAAGAGCAAATGGTGGTCTACATATACTAACTTTGCTTAGGTTCTTTTTTTTTTTTTTAATTAGGCATGTGTTTTACATCAACCTTTAAATTGACAGACTGAACAATGGATGGAAACACTTCTAAAACACAAGCACTCAGGTATTAAGAGGAAATGAAATCCTTCCTTAGATCAAGGGGTTGTTAATGGGCTAGTCAAATAGAGATGACATGAGATCTTCTGATGTGACACGCAGCAGCAAAGAGGGATGGTAGTCCTTATTTTACTTCTGACACTCCTCCCACCCTCCCCTAAAAAACCCTGCTATTTTAGAAGGGGAGAGACTGGACCTGAAAACAGTCCCAGAGGGCTTGAAAAGAAACTTCAAGTATAAAAACTAGCAAAGTTCACTAGGAAGCATCTTCTAGTTAACCGAAGAATGCAGACAGACAGGATTCTGGCTGGAGGTGGACAGGAAAGTAACAACGTCAGGTAAACTGAATAATAATAAGATTAATTAAAAAAATGAATCCCTCTGCTTTCCTGCAGGCTTGGATAGATAAAGTGAGGTTTGTCTTAATTTGTTTGCCTGTATCTTTACAAGCATTTGTAAAAATCGTTTAATTTAGATACTGCAAATAAACACTATAATTTGCATTTTATCTGAATCTGATTTATATTGAAGGACTACTCAAACTAGCCAGTGTCTAGCACTCCTTAGCCAAGCGCACAGTCAATGTAGAACACGGACAAGACACCTTATAAAGGTAGCGAGGTCATCAACACATTACTCTTATTGTTTGGCCAGCTGCATTAATTTGTGACAGACACCCCCACAGGAGGTGCAGAAGCATCTTACAGCAATAAAATACAAAGAAAACCCTCCAGCACACGCTGCAGTAACAGGGAGCACATGGGAACACGGATCCTAGACAGACACTGCCATTTGTGAAGTACTTCTTGTAACAACCTGAGTAACTCTCAGAGCACTGTTCAGGACTAGCCTAATAAAAGCAGTCTCAGTTAAGATTGATTTATATTGCTAGAAGCTAAATGAATACATACTTGGCCAATAAGCATTTGTTAATGCTTTCCAAATTTCTAAGCCTAATTATTTAACCTGAAAGATTACAGAAGTGCCAATGTATTTAGAGGAAAAAGCCCCATATTTCCAACTACACCGCAAGCTGAACTTACCAGTTTGTTTGGATAACGTAGAACCACTGGCTGTACAGGAACTCCAGGAATAAATGCTCCTAGAAAGCACATATGACACACAATTACTTTACAGTGCATTGTGGTACAGAAAAAAATTTATTGCAGCAAAGAAAAAAAAATTATACAACTCGTGGGCTGATATGCATAGGAATCAGTTGATAGTGGAAAAAAGTAAGATCAGAAAGTAGCCTCAAAAGTAATCTAAAAAGCAAGCACTGGAGAATGACAATGTATAACCCAACTTTTCAGCCGCTAAATAATTAAGAATGCTTGCTTACATTCACTAAATTATCCTCTACCACCTACATAAATCAAAGCCCAGTACGAAATTCAGCTTGATAAATGATCAAAAAAATGTGAGTACGTGCAGGATAGTTAAGTCAATATATTCCCTGTGGTCAACAGTAATTTTTTGGTGAAGAACATAAGCTTTCTTATGCAAAAGAGGCTTTCTATTTTTAGCTGAGCAACATCAATTTATAGGAAATATATCATCTCTGAAATAACAGAATTAATGTTAACTTCTATTTTGTAGCTATGGAAAAATGTAATAGAAAAGTATTGTACTAGAGCTACTGTACAGAAGTATCACTTCATTTCATATGAAAATTACAGTTTGATAAATAAGATCTGTAAGTGTCATTTGCTAATCATTTTCTTGATTTCCAGCACAGAGGTTGGGTAAGCATGATAACTATCTTGCTCAAGCTTTCTCTAGACAACTTCAGTTGTAAAAAAAATTAATAAAGACAGCTTCACTCAAACTATGTTACTTTTAGCAATTTACTAAGCTCTGTCTAATATTTCAATTAAAATTAAGAACTGAACAATGGAAGCATACTGTATTCTTAGCATTATATCTGCTTTACAGAATAATTGTCCAGATGTAAAAGTAGTAATTGTCATTGGAATACAAACATCTTTAAATGAAGGCTGTCTGAATGGGATCCTGCAGAGATTTGGTTCTTGGCCCAGTGGTACTTTCTATTCATTCTTCAAGAACAACAGTCTATGCAGCTTATGAAAGAATCCGAAGAAGACAAAACCCGAGTGGTAATGACAACATCACCATTCACACAAAACTAGACTAGCTGGCCCTGTTACCACTAGCTTGCACAAACACAAAACCAAAACACTGTGTAGTAAGAGCAAGGAGTGTAGGCCACACGAGTGGAACGGGGGAAAGCATCCTGAAAGCAGCTACCTGAACAGAGACCTAAAGTAATTTGATGTAAAGTGAGGAATTTTGAGGCAAAGGATTTCTGGGAGGCTGGATGGATACAGAAGCAGGTTCCAGTAGGAAAAGTGAGACAATCAAGAGGGAGACAGCAGCATGTACTAGACCAGAGGAGAAGAAGATAGAATGGGGATTTGAGGCAGAAAGTATATGGTGCCTGGAATGTCTATGGCACAGAGGGAGGGCAGGAAATCAGGGCTTTAATGAAGGATTCAGGCTGGTTTTCAAAGCATGGCCAGGATTCAGGTGGAGAGAGAGGGGAAGTAAAGAGCAAGAGAAGTGAATGTTCTCCTAACCACCACTCATTCATCTAAAAAGGTAAAGAGTTTAGAGGGGAGGAAGAAAAGCTTTTGGAAGGTTTGTTCAGGAGACGATACTCAGATTCCTTCAGCCAAATGAATCAGTGCAAGGAATCACAATGCTGACTCATTGCATGGTATTCCAACAGCGATACGAAAGTTGTAAGCCACATGAAATATAAGACACACAGTAAGACCAGAACACAATGAGCTGGGCAGAAACCTAGGAAGAATCAAAAACATGCATCCACAACCGCCTTGCTCACTGCAGCCTCCTTATTCACCTACATCATAAAGGCAAGTTTACATTAAACATTGGTGGTTCACTGCAGTATTGGCATTTCTCCTACTTGTAACTGCAGTTCACAGCTGCAATGTTCAGTGTTATACCCTCTGCTAATTTAACATGTTAAAAGGGTGATGCTAACTGAAGAGAGCTTAGAATGTGGATGTTAAATAAAAAAATAGTACAAAAAAGCGACAGCCTCTGTAATAGTGCTATACTGGCAAGATTCTTGTGCCATCTTCACCAGAACACAACTCAACAGAAGAGTTGGAGAGGAATCAAACACAGACAACACAGCAACAAATGCTGCAGCAGCCCGAAATAGATACACGCTGACACCTTAAGCTTTATAGTGTATCTAAATGCTGCGTGACAGACCCAAAATAGGAAATGGAAGGGGCAAGAAAAATAAAGGAAAAGACAACCACAAACAAAAACCCAGTAAGAAACATTAGTCCTCCAGCTCACATGCATCTCAGAAGCCAAGAAAAAAATCTGAACTATCTAAAATGCTTTGCTCAACAGTGGAACTACAATCCTTTTGTAGCATCAGAAAATTTCTTTTCCAATTCCACCCTACTGTAAGATTTTTCACTCAACTACAGCAACAGCAAGTAAATTACAATGCAAGTGGTATTTCAGAAAACGAAGATATAAGAACATTCTGTAGAGAACAGAGAAATGAGCATCATACCTACCAGGCTTGAATGTAATTAGACAGGATCGGTTTGTGCAAGTGCCCTCTGGGAATATCATTATCTTGAAGTAAAAAAAAAGTTGACTTTTAAGAACTATTTCAATGTGGATTTATTTATAAACACATCTTTTCAAAGCTAACATTAACTGATTACACTAAAAAAAGTTTTCAGGGAAAAACAGTTCAGTTAGAGTAAAAAAAAAATAGTGCTCAATAAAGAAGTCAAGTAAAGTTCTGTCTTAATAGTATAAATATTTTTTCTTTATCTGTGAATTTGCCTCTTTCTTGACCTCTGATAATAATTCTATTCGACTGGAACACTGACAGTGACCAGAAACACTTATGAGCACAAGAGAATTTTCAGAAACAGTTTTGGTGCTGGTAAACAACCACATTCTGTTTCGCACCAAAACAAAATACCTGCTCCCAAGCCACCTGCTTACAGGCTAAGAAAAGGAAGACTGTTACTTTCCTTCTGCATTTATTACTTGGCATGTGCACAGATGTCAGAATGACAGAGGCTGAAAATATCTAAACTGAATTCTAACATGGGAAAAAATGCTCAAGTTGAACTGAACTCAGAGGAAGAGGTTAGATTGTAAAAAAAAAATAAATGCGTTTCAGACAGCAAAAAGTCAAGAACTGCAGAAATTTTGTTGAGCTACAGAACAAGACATTTAAAGGAAATAAATACATATCGTAAGGGGACAAAGCAATGGACTAGAATTAACATTACTAGTTTTATTGCCCACTCTGCTACTAGCTCACTAGGCATTCTGGAAATCACTTCAGCTCTGCAACTCAGTTTCTTCATCTGAAAGTAAGAATGTTTACTTTTTAAAGGGTTTCAAAATCTATTGATGAAAATCATGATGCGAAAGCTTTGTATTACCTTCCTGTCACATTGTTTATAACTGTTTATAATGCTTCTGTAGTCCTGTATGCAGACACAACCACTGTAGCAGTAACAATGCCATGAAAGACATGCTGTATCTTAATCTCAGAAATTCCCAAGGAGGCAGCTTCACATTTTCAAAATAATCACATGCTTCTAGAAAATTGAGACCTTAGGCAGTCACCCCTTCCTTCCCATTACCCTCTTCCAAGGCACATTATAAACAGTCACCTTTCAGGTGCAGATAAAAACCATGAGCCACTTAATTTAGCAATGTTTTCATCGTGTGGTCCAGTAACTCCGGTGATTGGAACATCTGAATGTCTTGGCCAGTATCGCATCTCCAACAATGACAGCATGGCAAAATCTCAAGAAGGGCAAGAACACACAATACTCCCCCAAGTATCCTGCTAAGCACCTGATTGCTTTCTTCTTAGAGGATTTTCTAAACCTGCTGTGGTCTGTCCACTTAGCATCACTTAATAGAGCTGTCTTCCCACGTACTTACCCACTCTCCCCGTGAAACACACCGTAATGAAAAGCTAGTGCTGTGTATAGGTAAGATTCTTACATTGCATCTTCTGGAATTTGGGGGTGGGGAATCCCACGCCCCACAAACCATCTAAAGCATCCCACAAGGAAAAAAGTAAACTGCAGATCCAAAGCCTGGAAACACCAAATGCCACCTGTCACCCAGTAGTAGTATACAGTACCTGCGGCCATTTACCATCAGACTGAGCACGCCTCTTTATCTCTTCAACAGTTTTCCTGCGAGAATCCTGGTCTGATCGAGAGACAAATACTGGTCGGATGTATTTGATTAGAGCTGAAGAGAAGGGAAAACAAAAACAAGCAAACCAGCCTTTATTTCTCCTTTGTTTGAAAAAGAGTCCCCTCTCCTTCCCCCCTGCCAATAGTCCTCTGGACAAAAATTTTGGTACAAGTATGTAACTACTATATTACTCTGCAAACGTAAATAATCAGCTGAATTATTGCAGTTTTATTGAAACATATTCATTAATTCCTGTGAGGAAAATTATTTTCGCTACTTTGGCACTTTGTACTTGTTCAATTTTTAATAGACCAATACACATACATCACAGATAATTTGAAACATGATTGTACATAGCCATGGCTGACTATAGGCCATTTCCTCCTACCACAAAAAAAATCACAAAATCTATAGCCACCCCCAACCCAAAGTAACAGGAATCTCACTATACAAGTGCTTCCAAAAGACATCCTGTGGGTCCAACCATGACTCTCTTTAGAGCTTCTGTTTTCCATGACAGCTCAGCTTCACTGAAGGTACACCACCAAAGATATGCCATATATGGATTACGGTACCTTTTCTGGGGAATCAGCATCATCAAAATAAAAAGCATACTTATTTTCTGAGCTGTCACCTGTTTGCCTGTTCCTCGTCCTAGATGAATCGGGTCTTAGGCATCCTCTTCCTGGCTCAGTGGGACAGCTCTTATACATAGCCAGGCCCAAAATGAGCCTGAGCAAGAATCAGAAATCAATCCAAAATATCCTCTCCATTCATGTCTGTCACAAGGACACCAAGGCTCACTCACAAAATAAAGAGTAGCACAGAACTCTTCTGCAGTGTCAAAAAGCACTACAAGAGAAGCATCTGCAAATACACTACTTCATGCTTTCATTTAAGCAGGTTGTCTTCAACTACCTTTTTATCATTTCCCTATCTTGTAATCTTATTTGAAGGTTCAAGAGTCACTAAATCACTCTCTTCTATTTCCCTAAAATACAAATATAAAATACAGTTTTCGTATTTCCAAACACCACGATATAAGCTTGTTGATGCTAGTTGTATAATCTTCTTTTGTCAAGGACCGACTTGCTGCATTAACAGATCTGCCAGTGCTTAAAGTGTGAAGAAAAAACAACCACTGTAAGGAATTACAATCCTGTACTCAACAACAGCTGCTGGTTCTGGTGCTACCCCACTGGGTGTTGAGCCAGCAACTCACCAAAATTCTTCTATGGTTCTGTGAAGCTGATCCATCACTCCTTACAGCAAATTCCCAACTATTCAGCCAGCCTCTGAAATACTGCTTTTACCCCACAAACTGATGAAGCTTAGGAGACAGTGAGAAGAGTTACTATACTCTTGCACTTTTTCCTACATGCCTGCTCTTAGACAATATCCATGGAACAACGCTTTCCAGGGGAGCAAAGATCATCATAGCCCAGCTGGGGTTATGGCTGTGGGAAGGTAAAACAAGAAAAACAAGCCACAAAACAACTATGCACAGAAATTAGAAAAAAAACCCAACAACGAAAAAAAAGAACAAGCAACAAAAAATGCAAAAGAAACCATAACTGGTTTCACAACTCTCTCTGTTTTGTTTCTTAGTGATGCTAGCCCTGACCTTCCCCTACCGCTTCAAATTACTATTCTGTAGCAAAAACAACATTATCAAGTAAAAGAAAGCAAAAGACTCAAACATCCTCAGCCTTCACCCTGAAGTTTCTTTTACATTAGGCCCAAATGATGGAATTCAGGTTACTTCAGGCCAAGGAATGAACAAGATAAGAGCCTCAGAGATTGGGAATTATCTGAGGGTATGCTGCAAGCAAGGTCTTCTTTGTAACACATGAAATCAAGCAAGCAGATAGCTTTTACTTAGGGCGGTATGACAAAGACATCAGTCTATAGACAACTTACCAAATTTGAGTCTCTAACCACTAATGTCATCTAAATCTGAAGACTGGACAGGCAAGCAGTGTTAACCTGGGAGCCTTACTATTACAACCTTTCCGAAAGTAAGCTACTGCAACGTTACCAACCTCTGAAATAAAACACTGCAAGTTATCTTACAAATGGACACCACCACAAACAGCAACACACTCATGTGCAAAGAAAAACTACTACGGTATGCCGACAAAGAACAGAGACAACTGAAAGTCCGGTGTCCTATGGATTTGTCCTGCCTGTTAAATTATATGAGACAAAATAGGTGAGGTATACAAAACACCGCAAGGTAAGTTCATTTCTCATGGTTCAGACACTATTGTCACGCAGCTTGCAGAACTTGGTATCTCTTAAACCATCAGTTTGCTTTCAAAGATGCGTGAAGCCATCACTACTTCAACCCATCACATCAACTCTTACCCTAATAGACAGGGTGATCATATAAAGTCTTACTTCCCTAGGGATCTGACTAAAAAGCTAACAGAATTCTTGTTTTAACTTTAAACAGCAACAGATCCTGTAAGACATGAACTACCAGGCCAAGTCCAACAATTTAAGTGAAATTGAAACTCTCAGTCATCAGCAAGCATGTACCAAGGGAAGGCTAGCTTTGTATTTGCCTTTCCTCTATACTCTTTCCACAACCACTTTTAAAGAGCACAAACCTACACAGACCTTTACTCTCACCACATATTTTCATGTTCAGTAAACAGACAGGAATCTGAAAATTCAAAGGCTGTACCAACTCAATGTGTGCAAGAAACAGTCAGGAGCGAGGCCAAAGGTCTGTAAAGAGAAGCTGAGAAACATACCAAAGAGGTGGACAAGATGAGACTGTGGTCAGAAGTCAAGTCGAAACATAGGGAAGCCTGGAAACAGTACTGTAAGGTAGTCTGTGAGGCAAGGAATAGGCAGGACTAGAGCAAAGTCAGGGCAGGAGCAAGAAGCAGCATGCGTGAAAATGCTTCAGACAGCTGGCGTACTGAGCAGCTGAAGGAAACAAGCAGAACTGTGCAATATGCTTAACAAACAGAACATAATCTTAACCTTCTCTGCTCATCAATTTGTGCGAGACCAATTGTAATCAGGTAGTGAAAACCACAGCTCAAGTATTCAGAGACGCTGAAAGATGTGCTTGCTCATCTCTTCCCACTCCATTAAACCGCCCCTTAAATTATAAATTCTAGTGGGTGAGAGTGGACAATCCCTCAACTCACAAAATTGACCTCGCCAGCATCATTATTCCAGCTTTTTCTCCAGCAGCATCAGTCCTACTTGATGTAGTCAGTCTTATCCCCAATTTCAGCTCATTCCAAGTAGTCCTGAAGACACACGCTGTACTCCACCTTCTTAGGTAGGTGCCTTTAAGCAGTACTGCCAGTAAGTCATCAAAACCTCTGCCTTGCAGGGCAGCCAGAATGCCACAGAGGGGTTAACCGATGGAAACTTGCTCTAGCATGAAACAGCCTTTTTTAAGGAAGCCTGCAAAAAGTCAGTATTGCTTTAATTGATTTCAGGGTGGCAGCTCCAACTGATTTCAGAACCGTAATTCCCATGCAATCATTTCAAGTGTCAGCTGATGCATAAGCAAAAACAAGTCTTTCTGATGAGCTGAACACACACAATTGGTGTCAATGAACTTTCCAGGCTAATAGGGGAAAAAAAAATAAAAATAAAAAAGGTATTTCACCTCTCTGTTTCCAGGCAAATATGGCTGAGGAAACCTGGTTTCAAATTCAGACATGAAGTGCTATCCAACATATAATAGAAGAAAGTATTTTAACAAACCATTTAAATCATGCTCGATACAACCATACAGCAGATAAAGCTATACTGGCAGCATCACCACTGGTCTACAAGGCATCAGAGAACACCCAAAGTGACCGAATGGCAGTGTGGCACTAAATACTGTTCTAAAATGTATCCGCACACACATTTTTGAGTAGGCAGTTACACTTTTACCACTGCAGAAACAGCATCAAATAGAGTGACAGATCTGCTGCAAAAGTAGAGAATGCTGAACAGGAGGCTTTCACTTGGCCTCTCCCCCGAACAACACAAAATCCCATCACGTACGTTCCTCTGATACGCTGAGACGGCAGCCTACAGACCCGCTGCATCTGGCTCTGCTTGCATTTAACCTGGAGGTAGGCTGTGCAATACAGGTAGACTTGCAGTGGGATACCTATTTATAGTATTTACTCCTTGATTTTTCCTACTACGGGAAAAAACACAGGTTATTTTTCTAATAGCATTTGCCCTCTTGTGCATTCTGCATTTAGGGCTTAGAAAAACCTGACAGTTGACGGTTGAAAAGTGCTGTCTTGGGCTTAGTTTTTAAAAGCTGTTTTGCTCAAATGAACATGCTCATGAAGTTCTGAACTCACACCTTTTCTAATGAAGTAATATCTGATATGAAAACTGCTCTTTTCTGGAAAGAAAAGAAGAAAAGAAGGTTATGGGAAAAAAACCCCATTAAGGTGCCAGAATAAAATGGCTTCCTGTGTACATGGACACAGAGACATTAAAAACGGAAAAAACCTCAAACCCACACATAACAAATACACAACGCAGAAAACTGAAGTCAACCCAAATTAGGATCTTTTCCACTTGGAGTCATATTGTTCTTACAGAAATAGTGTTGTTGTACTCTATGGCACTCTACACAAGACTTGTAAAATTAGTGGTAGTATCTTATTAGAGCAACAATCACACAGAGAAAGATACACTTCTTTGACCCAAGCCTGAAGCAATCACTAAAGCTACATACGTGTCAAGAACAACTTCTCTGAGTCTGACTAAATGCTTAGCAGATGGACCCCCTGACAGATCAGACACCAAACATTCCTGATACAGAGGCAGCGTTAACGGGAATGAAGTTCTCCGTGTTTCCAAAATGAAAGGTAGGAATCACACAGTCTGTAGGACAAGGAGAGGTCAGTAGTGGGACGTAAATAATCAGTGCTCTCTTTAGCTTTAGCAGGAGTAAATTCCATTGTATTTGGGCTGGTCTTTCAAGATGTGATTATTTCCTTTTAAGAACCTCTTTCATAGCACAAAGATTGCCGTTCGCTCTCACCCCTGCAGTACCTGTATGAGGGCATGGCTGTATGTTTTAGCTTTCTGCCGCCAGTATTTTACGAAGGCAGTTGTTTGTTTAGCAGGCTTCCTATACACTGTAGTTTGTAACTTCCATAAATTATATTCACTGGGATGCTTAAAAAAAAAAAAAA